CAGTTTCTTCTTTACACTAAACCACAAGAAGCATTATCAAGGTAACATAGACAGAGACAATAAACCCGAAGCTAACGAAGATCGAGAATAGCCTTAGCGTCACATTGACTTTTTTCCGATCATGGAGACACAAAAAATGGACGAAGATCCGTCGCATATTATGGGCCGATAATGAGAGGGGAAAAAAGAAAAGTAAACATGAAAGAGATGAACGATACAGGAAAACCAACACTGGCCATCGGTCAGTAGCACAAAGTCTCAATAACAATCTTAAGCTTGGCCCTCAATGAGAAACTTTATCATGATGAGTAGCTCTCTCTCTCTGTCTTCATCTTTTTTCACACTTAACTGTGAATAGTTTGATGCGATCATTATCATCATCATCATCATCGTTAGGTCAGTGATGGTCAGTGGGCATCAACTATACGGTTTATTAACCAACTTAATGATGATATGAGCATCAAGATAATGATCATGATAAGCTCGAGATGTGGATGATTGGTCAGTTTAATATTGGCGGAGAAATAGACAATTTAATTATTTTTTTCTATCAAATTTTATTATCCTAACGATTGGTTAAAATATTTAAAAAGTTTTCGAGAAAAAAAAATTCCAATAGCTGAGCATTGAAACTTTGGCTTGACCAATTGAATTAGAAAGCAACAATTAATAAAAAAATATGAATCATTGAATGTTAATCATGATGAAAATGAATCAACAGTAATGATAATTACTAATTCTTATTGTCAAAGGATTACCGACACAATTTACTTATGATTAGAAGATTAATGATTAATGTTGATTATCAATCAATTAAATGATTATACAGAATCAATTTGATTATCAATGGTTATCAACAATCAAGTAATTGTAACTAATCAAGTTGATACTTTTACCAACATCATATATTTACAGTTAACTTTCATCATTCTCATCATCATCTAGAGGTGTCAACCTTCAAGAGGTCACACACTTGAATATCATTATTGGTTCAACTTATGCTGACCCTTTGCCTCAAGATTATCATCATCATGATAAAAGGACATTATTTGCTATGGTTGAACACAAAAGTTACTTTAAATTATCATAATTATCATTGATAACCTCAAAATGGTTAAGCCTGAAATTGTCATCCTATTGTCATCATCAATTCAAGGTCACGTGTCTCACAGTATAACCATCACAATAATCATCAGTTTGACAACAAGTAACATGATTTAATTCATTAAATATGATCCATAATGATGAACATGAGATTTTCCATGAAAAAAAAGAAGCACCAGAAAATATGATCGACATCATTTTCTTGATTCAATATTAACTCTATATCTTTTCATTTCTCAATCATTTTCCAATGGGATTCAATGTTGATTCATTTTCTTTATATCAATTTTTGCTTCATTGATTTCGTTGTTATTATCATCATTATTGTCATCATCATCATCATCTCTGTTTCTCCCACGCTCACTTTATATATAGTTCTGAAAGATTTTAGGAATAACCCTTTTCCGGTTACTCTTTTCTTCTTCCTCTTCCTTTTTCTTCTTTTCTCTTCTTTTCTCTCTCAAATTTGTCTTCTAACTGAATAGAAAAGATAATGCATCTTCTCATACACAGAATGATAAAGATGAGGCTGCGAGAGAGAGATAGAAGAGAGAGAGAGAGATCACTTTTATTTGAGAAAGTGGAAAAAGAAAGAGAGAAACTTTTTCTCCAGGCAAACATTAAAAACTCATTCACAAGTGAAGTTGGAGAGAGAGATATGGTCAGAGAGAAAGAAATAGGAAGACAATTGATAGAGGAAAAGATGAAATTAGATAGAAGAGGAAACGGAAACGCTACGAGGATTTGTAATAAATCTTTCAAGATGCAAGATAAAGAGAGAGAGAGAGAGAGAAAGTGAAAAGGGTAAAAGTGGATAATATTTGTTGTAATATCATGATGATGAAGGAGAAGATAAATAAAATTATAAAAAGCATCTAATGAGTTAGTAATGAGATATGAAATTAGAGCGAGAAAGATGATAATAATCATGATGATAAATTTGATAATGATGATAAAAGATGAAGTTTAGGATGATGATGATGATACCCGTGACAATGTTTTCCCTTTGCCGAGATGAGGCAAAAAAAATAACCAATAACTTTGGGAATACAATATAATATATCCGACATCATCATCATCATTATCAAATAAAAGTGGGAGGCAAGGGAGCAGAGTTACAAGAAGTCCCTTGTGTAATTGTCTTCCTGTTATTGTAACTGTTTTTTTTCATCATGAGTATTATCTAGAACCATGATAATATTATGAGAGAATCAAATTATCGACAAAATTTTTCAGATTTTCTTTTTCAATAGATACTCAATGGGTGGAGAGAGAGAGAGAGAAAGAGAGTTTAAAAGGCTGGTCAGACCTCGAAATGTACAAACATAGAATTAATTGTTTACCGAGGGAGAGAGAAGAAGAGAAAGGGAGACGATAGATTAATATGTTTCATGGTAAATTCCTCCCTTATGGTTGGAAAGGGTGGGGCTTTTATTGGGCGAATATTAAATAATATGAGAATTGAGAATGGATTATTTTTAGTCTTTGGTGAGAATCAAAACTTTTTTTCTGTTCTATTTGAACTTTTTGCTTTCGAAAAGAGAAACTTTCAAAATGAGTCTTCTTTTGATGGAGAGGGCCAGGAGGATGTAGAATTGATAATAGCTGACCAATGTTCTTGGGAGAAGGTTAACTTGATACACTAGAAAAAGAGAAAGATTCGAAAATATTAGATGAATGCTCGATAGAAAAGAAAAAAGAACAGAAAAAAAGATGAAAGAGAGAGAGAGAGAGAGAGAGAGAGAGAGAGAGAGAGAGATAAATGATATTCATTCCACGAACTCGTTGAAAATGATATTAGAAGAAATAATTTTGTTTCTTCTTTCACTATTCATGAGCAATTGAACTTATATTTTTCATGAGATTCTAAGTCACAATCATTATGATAATTTACTTAAACCCATAAACAGTAAACAAACTTCACTCGTGCACGTACTAAATACACACCCAAATAATTCACAAAGCTTGTTAATCTCATTTCAACCTCGAATCTGATAATTATTTAATGTTGATCGTGAGTAATAATTGATAATAGTAAAGTTTGGAGAAAACAAAAATCAGAATAAACAAATAGTCTGATAATTCAAGAGGTGAAATTCAAGAAAAATGAACAAAAAGAGAGAGAAAGAATATTATTCATGATATTACTATGAATTGTGAGAGATTCAATAATAATGTTCCAATTTAATTGAGATTATAACAATTTGCAAAGGTGAGTAAAAAGTGTCTACCATGAAGGATACGTTATGAATATTGATGAAGACAAAGATGATGATGATGATGAGAAGGGAGATTTTGTTCAGTCAAGTGATCATTTTAATTGATTCTCAATGAAAATAATTTTCTTGTTTTTTGTTTGGTCTCTGTGAATGAAAACAATGATAATTATGACAAAAGGTAAACCGTATCCATGTTGATATATATTCACTTGGATTATGATGCTGATAATGGACAATGTATTCAGCCTGTTGACCAATTTCACCTTGAAATCGGTCAACCATGTTAGAGAGAGAGAGAGAGAGAGAGAGAGAGAGAGAGAGAGAGAGAGTTGGAAAAAATAAACTAAAACTCTCACATTAAACTGACCATAATATTTTCATGAAACAGAAAAGTATAACATTTTCATCATAAACCCAACATCAAATCCCAGGTAAAGTAACTAACCCATGATAATTTATTAATATTAAAATAACGTATTGTATAGTTATGATTAGATGGGTAACAGAAAATAATAATAACAATATGATCATTAGATTAAATTGTTTGTGATTAACATGAGATTATAATTATGATCATAAACATAGTCGAAAGCTTATTGATTATCAATGTTGAAAGAAAAAAAATGAAAATTGAGGTAAAATTGAATAACTGTTAACAATTAACATCTCCAATGGTCAGTGTAGAATCTAAATTAGTATTAATCATGTCTACTAATCGTTTGAAAGGAAAAAGGTATTTAACTTGATGGTCATTCTCTTTGCTTTTTTTCTTTCTTTTTTTCTTTCTCTTGATGAATTCGATAGGAGTTGATGCCGATCTCTTCATCTTATTGGTCAAGGTTTTTACCGAGATTAAGATTGATAGAAATGGGGAGAGATTGGGTGGGGTTTGATGATTTTCTCTTCTTATTCTTTTTCTAAAGAGCTTTTAACATCATCTAACTTGATATCTTTCTTTTTTCTCTTCATCTTCTTTCGAATTTTTTTCTTCTTCATCATCATCTTCTCTTCCTCTGATAACAAAACCATTTTCGCACTTTTTTACTCTGTCTTTTATATTCAAACATTAACATCACTCTGATGATGGAGCTTTTTCCTTTCTCCTCATCTTTTATTTCTCTCTCTCTCTCTCTCTCTCTCTCTCTCTCTCTCTCTCTCTTTCTTTCTATGTTACCCTTTTCCTCATCCTGATCTTCATCCATCCATCGAACAGCATCTTCTTCCTTCCTACTGATACACTTCGTACTTTACATCAACACCAATGGTCGTTTATCCTAATGGTGTATTTGTCGTCATTGTAACAGATTTTATCTCTTCTTATCATCGTATCCCAATCCATTATGTAGACCAACAGTGGGCACAACAACAACAACAACAAGAGACACCAACACACGATGAAGACACATAAGCACTTACACACCATTACGAGTTAAATAGACTAATACCATTAATATGGTTCAATAGTCTTAACCTTTTGTATGGAAAACCAAGCAAAAGAAAAACTTTCATCTATTTACCTTTCATATAATATAATCCATAAGCATTAGTAATAACATAATCGACGACAACAACACTCACAATGACAAATCAATTTAGAAGAGGGAACAAAAAATCCCACTAAATCTTAGGTCATAAGGGATAAGCAAGTGGATTAAGGATTGGATTATGTTTGATTACCTTTTCTTGTTGTTGGATTTGTTTCATCATAATTTGTTTCTTTTTATCTTTACAACGTTTATTCTGGAACCAGACTCTTATCACACGAGCCGAAAGACCGGTCATATCGACGAGTCTCTCCTTAAGAAGTGCGTCCGGCCTTGGATTGGCATTATAACACGATCGAAGTGTCGTCAATTGCTTCTCATTTAAAACGGTTCTCACTCTTGTTGGTTTATGTTCAGATGATGAATTTGATTTATTATTATTATGATGATGGTGACCTGATCTAACTGAGGAATCACGTCGATGTCGAACTGTTTCATCTCCGTTAGGTGTTGTAACCAATGTGGTCGTCGATGAATCAGATAAATAAGGATGATTGGTGTTATCAAGTTGAAGATGTTGTTGTTGCTGTTGGGATGGTGGTTGGGCCGAGGCTTGAAGTTCGGGTGTCAAATGGTCTGATGTAAGTCTTTCCGATGTTGATGTGGGTACAGATGATAGGTCACTTTGACTCATTGACATACTATCGGGAGGAGTCATACTAATGTCAGGTTGCATTAATTCATCTTTAACAAGTGCTAAAAGGGAAAAAAACAAACAACAATTAGATTATCATGATTATCGTGATTACAATGAGAGTTAATCTAATAAATAGTTAAAGGGTTTTCGGTCAATGAATTGATGTTGATGGAAAAGTTTTTACTATCTCTCTCTCTCTCTCTCTCCCTCTCTTTCACTCTTTAAGCTCGATAATGATGATAAAAGTGATGCGGATCAAGATAATGATGATGATTTAAGTGATCGCACACTCACATTGATTAATTTAAACAGATTAGTGATCGTGATTTAATCCAGCAAAGTTTTTGCAAAAATCTTTCAACCATCAATGTTTATTGTTATTGATCACTGGTGGTCGATTAATTTTCATCAGCTTTTAATGATATAAAACTCTGATCATCATCATTATAATCAACATGATTAAAGGGATGATGATAATAGTGTTATAATCAAATTCAAGCATCTTAATGCTAATAAATTATCATTCAAGTTGATTAAGTTATAATAATTAGTAAATTCGTATCTAATATAATAATACATATCATAGTAATTGATGGTAAACAATTAAATCTAAATTTCATTGAGAGACAATTTCTATTTATATAATCAATCTAATCACAACAATTAGTTAAAGAAAATAAAAATGAACAGATAATAACCGTTTAAGTTGATTGTCCAGTTATCATTATCCTTTCCTTTTCCTCCTTCAGACTGGACACTACAAACCCTTTAATTGCTTCAGTCCGCAGCTAAATTTAAACGGGTAAGTTTTTAAAATACCCAATTAATTACTGATAATCATCATTCAATTCAATTCAATTAAATCAATTCTTTCCTTACAATAGAATGAAAAAAAAGTTCAATTCAATTCAAACAATTTCCATCGACATTAAAACCAATTCAACTGATTGATAAACTATCATCTCCTATCCATAGATATATTAATATATTGATATTCCTCAACATTGATTGTATTAATAACTGTAAATGTCAAAACTAAATTAAATGATGATTGAGTTGATAATAATGACAATAATAGAGTATTGATAAAATAGTGATAATAGTAAAGGTAAAGAAACATAAATGAATAATGTCAAGAGCATAATAGTGCCAATGTGTTTATCAAATAGTCTAACAATATTATCACAATTATAGTAATGTTATTATAAGAGGAGGATGTCAAATGTTATATTATTACCAGAGGAAAAAAAAAGTTTTACATCTCATCATCATCACCATCATCATCATCATCATCTTCAGAAAGTAAGAGGATAAATTTTTTGCTCCTCCATCAATTCAGGGCAAACTAAAAGAGGATGAGGATGGAGATGATGCTGAAAAAAAAGTAAACCTAAGTTTTTTCATCTTCTTCTTGGTAACTTGTTTATATAGTCAGAGAGAGAGAGAGAGATTTGATTGATGATAAAGATGAAGATGTGGATAAGGATGAGGATGATGAAGGTGTCTCATCATCTCATTGATGGTTATTTAATGTTTATAATATTTTCCTAAGCTAATTTTGAGTTTCATCTTCATCTTCTTGCTGAATTATCAATCAGATTCTGTGGGTGGAAATCAATTCATTGAATGAATTTTTTTTCCTCAAGGTTGACTTTTTATTCTGGATTAGATGTGGTTTTTATCATGTATTAAGAAATTGCTATGGAAAGGAAAGCTTTTCGTATTGAAAAGCGACATCGAGACTTTTTCCTTGGATTAACTTTGTTATTGTTATCTTCAGATTAGATACAAAGATTATCTTCATCTCGATATATATTTATTATTTATCATTAGCATCGATTTATATTTACTCTTGATAATCTCATTCACTTTCATTTACATCAAATAAAAACCCATTCAATTCATAAGGGATAGTTTTTTTTCCTGTTCATCAGAAAATGATAAAAATCTGATTGTATGTTTATCAGGGGAAAAAATCAATTATCTGTTAGTTTTATCAATCGTAAGCTAATCTTGATTGTCTCATTGTATTATGATTGATTATCGATACAAATGATTCATGATATGTAATATTTATCATGATTGTTTATCTAATATTTGGTGAATATTATTTATCTGCACATTGATGATAAGTTAAATGTTACAGTTTCAGGTTTTTCTTTTCTTAATCTCTATCATTTTCTTACATATATTTTTATCATGAAACTCATCAAGATTCATTAGAATCACGAACAAGAAAAAAGTACTAAAATACTAGTTCGAGATTATCAGATTTTCCACCTTTGATTATATTTCTCTCTCTCTCCAATTCATTGATTCCATGTTATACTTAATATCTCTCTCTCTCTCTCTCTCTCTCTCATCATGATAATTTCTCTCAACTATCTATCTCTTTTTTTTCTTGAGCTTCCATCATGAAAAGATATTCGATATACTAATATTTTTCCTTAGTTCATCATGTTATGGTTTGATAATCATTTCGTGTGAAAAATCATTGGATGATAATCATGAACTATACCCATGAAGAATCATGGAAAGAACGAGAGAGAGATAAGAAATATAAGAGAACTAGTAAGAAACATGAGAACCCGAATTACCTGAAAGATAATGAACAAATTGTTCTGAGTGAAAACTTCAAACCTTAAATTCTGTCTGTCTATTAATCACAATTAAAAGATAAACTATTCACCATAATCCAAATCGAATCAATTTTTCATTAATGTTGATAGAGAGAGAGAGAGAGAGAGAGAGAGAGAGAGAGAGAGAGAGAGACAAAAGTTATGACTCAATAAGATATCATTTCAACTAAATGGTCAATTATCATTCTGGTAAATTAAATGATCATGAAAGTTTCATGATTATTAAATTGTTTCATCATGAACCATTGTATTATCATTAAACTCTGGATGCGTGGCAAAAGACAATAAGTTAACATGAACACTGATATTTACCTGTAAATAAATTTCTCGACATCATCATCATTGATGCAAAGATGACAAAATATTTTTTAAAGTAAAAAAACTTTGATTTTAAAGTAATATGGTAAACAAATATCATGGAAATTCAGTAAGTTGAATGAAAGATCATTGTAATTACATGGTTTGCAATAATGAGAGAGGAGGAAGATGATTAATATCATCGGAATCGTTATTTTTTCTGCTTTTACTTTTAAATGATAAACATTGACGCCTATGGATCATTATTGGGGAGTTTACCTTTGATCATTTGTTTATCATCATCATAATCATCGTGATAATAGTTGTGATGATGATGATGATGATAAATATTGCGTGATAAGTAACTTGACTCAATATGATGATAATGATTAGGAAAACTGTTAAAAAAATGAAACACAAACTGTAAAGTTAAATGTAAATCAAATGAATTGGATTAAAAAACGTAAACATAATCAGTGAATCAATTGCAGATGTTAATTGTTGATGTTAATCATTTTGCTGTCTTTAAAACATAGTACAGAAAATATTGGTTACTTAATTGAGTTACGATAATCGGTGATCAAGTAAACAAGATAAATCATAATCTAAATCAACAATTAAATGCAAACAATCAATTCGTGCATCGTTTGTGTATATAAACATACACACGAGTCTATGGTAAAACAATTAACTTACAATCAACACTTTCCAGTGATTTACAAAACTACCAAACAATTAAATCAATCGAAACTTTTTTTCTTTCCCAAGTTCGAACCTTCAATTGTTGAGAAACTTTTCTCTTCAACTACAAATTAGAACTTTCTTTTCCTTCTTTTTCGTCGAAAATGATTAGATAATAACAATGGATTATCCTCGAGTTCTAGAATATATATTTTTCTCTAGACACACTTTCATCCATTCGCATTCACATTGGAAGGTATTAATTATCTATTTTTCTAATTTAAGGTTATATCATATTGTGATTTCGAAAACAATTTCATCAGATAAATCGAAAGGTTCAAAGGTAAAAAGAAGAGATATTTTCTGTTTATAAAGGATAATCTGAGGATAACTTTTCATTTCAATTTGCTTCTATTTCTCTGGACTAGATTGATGTTCATTAATCAGATGATAATTTGTGAACAATCAGATTGATGAGGCTCTATGATTGATTAATTATGGTTAATTAAGTTGTCGTTTTAATGGTTAATTGGATGATACATTGAGAGGAAAATGAATGTGTGTGTTTCTGGAGACTGGAGTTTGTTTTTCCTTTCGGTCTCCTCTGTTTTCCTATTGGAAATAATCTGATTTTCGAGGATGAATAATATCTTGAAAATCCTACTGACCAGAGGAAATTACATTTACTATTGTTAATGACATTAAAAGTCAATGGTCAGTTATTTTTCTCTTCTATCATCTTCCTCCCCTGTCACTTTTCTGACCCATGTCCATCTCTTTTCCTCGTCATTTCAACGGTATCTTTGTTTTCTCTCATTTCCTGGGTTATCCACAAAAATTATTCGACATCAATAGATGAGCGAATTTTCATCGAAATAGAAAAACATTCCATCGAAAAGCCTCCCCAGCCTCAGAGTTCTGTTTTTCTATCTTCTTCTTTTCTCTCTCTCTCTCTCTCTCTCTCTCTGCAACAGTTGAAATCCTCAGGACTCATCATCATCATCTCTCAAAGGAGCAATTCATTCATTCATTTTTCTTCTTTCATCTTTTTAATGTATCATTTTCCTACTAGAAGAAAATGAAGATAAAAAAGACAAGGCAAAAAGATGTTCTCTTCTCCATCCTCATCATCATTTTCCCCTCTTGACAATATAAACTGTTGATCATCATCATCATTATCAATGAATAGTGAGAGAGGTAAGTAGTTTCAAAGGAAGAGACAATGATGATGACGATAAAGATGAGGAGAAGCTGATGGAGCATAAGAGAATGTTGTAAAGGGCGATAAATACATAAAAGAGAGATGATGATGATGATGATGCGATCATCAATCAACAGCTAAAAGGACTTTCTCCCCTTCTCTCGCTCTCATAATGAACACTCTGTATCTTTATAGTGGTATATTCAATATGGATTGTCAAATGTGAGCCTTGTAATCAACA